TGCACTTTTAAAGTTCCTTTCTTTTTTGGTTTTATAAATTTTTCCAAGTTTTCTAATTTTAAAGTGCAAAACTGCAACTGCAGTTTATCAGTTGCAAATTGTTGAAAGAGTGTAATACAGATACGCCAATTATTCCAAGCAGATTAGAGTCATTAGTTCAGCCTTCAGATGTGAGTATCAATAAAATATGCAAAGTAAAAAAAAAAAAAAAAAAAAAAAAAAAAATTGAATTTAGATGTTAGAAGATGAAAACTGTGTATAATAGGATGTCAAATGTGTCATGTCAATCTAGAAGTATCTTTAACTTTAGCATGTAAAATCATTTCATTGTTGACTTTAAAATTTATATAGCATGTAATCACAAACTTGGCAGAAGCAGCTAACATGGAAAGAAAACTTGCTCCTGGCTTCCTCTGAAAGTTCTTCCACTACTTTATTAGTACAGTCCCTATTATAAAATCTTACGCAGTCTTCAGATTTTCTATTTTACCGTAAATCATGATAAGAAGACAAAACAAAAGTTGTTTTACAAATTCTGATAAAATGTCTTTAAAAAGATATAATCACCGATTGCAAAACATAATAATATTCTGCGCTGTAGAATTGTGCTAAGATTGAATGATGGCAAAATGTAGCATATAAAAAGGAAAAAAGCTTTAAGGCCTGATTAATAAATACATAAATATTCATTCTTCATAAAATAATACAACAAGGACACGAGACAATGTTTCCTTGTCGAGCAATTTTTAAAAATTTTTATTTTGAAAGAATCTCATACCAGCTTTACACTCATATTTCATAGAATCATTTTAAGATTTGCCAATTAAATTGTTTACAGGTGCAGGAATTACTTTATTTTTCTCGCATCTTTTTGTAACAATGACAGCAGTAATTTCTTTTCCTTTTACTTTATGTATTTTATAACTTTCAATAGAATGTTTTTTCTTAATTTGACAAGTATTTACTTCTTCCTTAACCACTTGCAGTAAAAAGATGTGCCACGCACGTCGAGATGCTTTTATCTCAAACCGCGAGGGACGTGAACATCACGTCGATAGGCATTTATCACAAAAATTAAAATAATGTGGTGCACACATCGCCTAACAACGAGATTGTTTATTTCTCGAGTTACAGCTCTGTATTGCACTCGCAGATGCGGAGCGGCGTAAATGAGACACTTTACCGCTTGTTATATTGTAGCGCACGGCACCGCAACCATGAAGTTTAGTCGTAGCGCAAGTGGTTAAAAATGTAAGTGGAGTCCTTTGTGTGAGGATTCTACATAAAACATTTCTCTAAATGACCAGCATGCACATAGGTTTCAAAATTTCTTTTATTTCAATATTATGCTACTATTGCAATTATTTCTATTTTTCCTTCCTTTCAGAATTCCTTTCAAGATATTAATTAAAATCAACAATGTGCTCATCCACACATATTAGTAAAGAAGCTGCTAAACTTAAGAGGATATAATTGGTGCAGTGGCAGCACCAAGTGCTAAGCAATTATCCAGAGAAGTTGCATTTTCTTTTTCAAGTTTTAATAATTAGTTGTTATATTAAAAACCTGTCAAATCTCCTAAAATGGGGGCAGAATGTAAACTACACTCAATTTCTGAAGACTCTGGATTAAAAAAAGAAACAACCTGATATAGTTTTGCATTGGTACTATTGCTTCCATCCGTTGAGAAGCAAAATGGAACAGCAAATAGCTGTTTTAATGCAATCAATAACAAAAGATTTATTATTCATACCCATTTCTTAAACAATTTCAGACATTTTATTCCTTGCATTTGAGTACTTCTCGGTGATTTTGCTCTCAGGAATCATTACCCTAAATAAAGCTGCAGCATGTTCTGATGCATTCAATAGCAAATTGTGTTCTAGTAAAAAGGCAGAGAACAGGCATTCTACATTAACAACTTTTTGATCTTTTGGTTCTGCAGAAAAATGTAATTATTATTTTTTTAAAATACAACTCAACCCGTCTCTGGGTTTGTGGATGCACACATGCTTAAGAACATTGTCCCTTCCACTGTGTGAAACTGAAAAATCAAACAGTATATATCACAAATGTTTTACAATCTCCTTGACAAAACAATAGAAGGAAAGTCATCTGAGTATGATTTTTGAAAATTACATGAGTATTTTACCTTTGTTATTTGCAAACATAACTAAGTTGCAACTAAGTTATTTGAAAACATAACTTTTTTCATCACAATGTTTTGCACTATTTCTCGAAAGTATGTGAAACCACAGCACTCAGTGGCAAGACAAACAAAATAACATCTTCCATCTTGCTTTGTGCTCAGCCTCTAATATAATATATGCCAGAAGAACCACAGTGGGGCTTGATGATCAATGGAGACCTGGAACATGATGTTTTCAGACACATTTGCTTTCACACACAAAGCAAAAGGCCACCATACTGTCTCACTAATGAAGCAACTTTGATTTTCTTTTATATGTCATCTAGAGAAAAACTAAGTGCTTTCTGATACCAAAAATCACTGTTCTGGGTGTAAATAAAGTATTCATAAAAGTTGTGAGAAATTTTAAGAATAAGAGAAAGCAGAGAGAAATATGTTGTAAATAGGGTTGGTGGAAGTTTGCATATCTCTACCTAAATCACGAGAATCGGAACTCTGTTTCCTGTTACAATCACATTTGCACAAGGTATTTACAGATTTCTCTTTGTTAGGAACTCTTAGTTAGAAACTTACTCCTTGAGCATAAGAATTTCATTACATTCAGATGTACATTAACTTAGATAATACAGAAATTTTTAATTTTAGATCCGAATTAAAAATTTTCAAATCATCCAATTTCACATGAAATGTCTCGTACGTAAATACAGGTAAAGTTAACAAAAGCTTGTTAATAATAAATAGCTAAAAAATATGCTTGTAGAACTTTTGTTATAACAAGTTTTTGTTATATAACACGATTTTTGCAATTCTGGCGAAGTTGACAGTATTATCTGTGATTGTTCTAACCCGCACTCTGCGCCTGTATCATCCTTCCCCCCACGCTTTACTTCAGAGCAGAGTGTTATAAACGAGTTACTGCATGTTTATCTTATTCCTGTCAATGCGTTATACGTCTCCAGCCTATATAAAGTCAATGAATATTCATTTTATTTTCATTAGCATTATTGCACGCAACTGATAACAGGGTTTTAAAAGTTGATCTTTCACTGTTGAGAGATACCAGTCTAGTATTGTACTGTCACCGAGTTTTTCCGAGATGGAACAATAAACAGACAGGTTGTCTTTCTGATTTTTAATGAAAATGTAACAAATTAATTATTGGTTAAACAAAAGATTAATTACATTAAAATTTGCATTAGAGTACTAAATAAAACTGAAGCAGACTATTCACTTCCGCAGACGCAATCTTTGCACCCTATTCACAGTACATCCATCACAGTTCTTTGAAAATCTTTCAGCATTCTCTCTTTCGTGTCTCCCTGAGCGGATTTCACGCAGGCTGCTTAACACCCATTTTTCTTATGAGAAAAGAAAATAGTTAATTGATAATAACCGTCTTTTAGCATGTGTTTTTTGTAACAGCTAGTTGTCAACATACTCTGAATGTCACATTTCTTGTCACAGTATATATATTTTATAATAAATAACCCTTAACTTGGAAATGTCTAACATTCACTAATAGCACTCACCTATCTGTAAAGTAAAAACCATGTTGGAAGCAAAAAAGAAGATTGCAGTATAGTGCGGACAATATTAAATACGGATTTATCGAAAATCCCATAAATCCATCATCGCTAATGTGCCTTATTTGTGAAATTTTTTTTTTTCAAAGGAAGTAGACTTCTAGGCTTCAAGATCATTTTAATAGAATACACCTGAATAAGAACGACAATGATGTGGACCTATTTTCAAGAGATGAAAAAGAAGTACGAAATTCAGCCAACTATATCAAAAATTTTTCATCAGCTTCTAAGCAAGACAATGATGGACTTCTAACTTTGTATCTCATTGTTGATTGCTAAAATAGGCAAACCACATACTATAGGAGAAGATCTAATTGTACCAGCTGTAAAAGAAGCAATAATCACTGTGCTCCATACACCAGCTACAGATATCCGAAAAATTCCTCTGAGCAATAGTTCTGTGCAAAGACGAACTGATGACATGGCTCAAAACACTGAAGAATCATTGTGCAATCTGCGGACTTGTCAATTTTCAATTTAGCTAGATGAGTCCACTTTACCAACCAATGAAGCTGTTATTGTCATATATGAGGTTTATCAAAGATGAAAAAATATGTTAAGAGCTATTGTTTGCTAACAATTTGGAAACAGAGAAAAAAGGTGAAACCATGTTCAATACACCAGTAAAGTTTTGTGATGAAAAATAAATTCCTTTTAATAATATTTTGTCAGCTGCTACAAATGGTGCACCAGCTATGACAGGGTGTCAGAAAGGCTTCATGTGTATTAATTGTTCTAATTGAAACAGTCTTCTTTAAACTCAGAATAAAGACAAGGTCATATTCCATCTTACAATTATAGTATATAATATTACACATTTAAATATAATCATGGCGATAGCTGTTTCAGATTCACAACTAAATAAAATTGATCGCTAAAAAAAAAAAAATCTCAAAGTGGATGGTGGGCGAACGAAAGTGGGCAGGGGACAAAATAAAGTTGAGAGCCTATGGTTTAACACATAGAATTCTCATACAGTCTAAAAATTAACTTGAAGAATCAGACTACTGAAAGAAAATAACCAGATTCCTTAATATTTAAACAGAGAGCCAAAATCCTAAATATGCTGGTGGTAAATAACACATGTAACCAACATTTTAACTTAATCTACAATGCATGTCATTTCTGAAGGAAATATATGAACTTGCTTGTTGTAGATAAGACACAAGTACTTAACTTCTTAACATTTATAATGTATGACATTTCAGAAGGCACGAACTTAAAAATTTCTTTGCAGCAGTAAATTAAATCAATGCAATCATATCTACCTGCATATAACTGGTGATGCCAGTGGGTGAATAGTGACTAAAGGGATATTTGGGGAAAGAACATTCTGGACACCAAGAATATGCCGTTCATTAGCCCGTCTGTGAGCAGTAGTTAATCTTCTTATTTGAAAAACATTTGTGCGACAGCCCAAAGCAGCATCTAAACTAATAGATAACCACGATGGTTGTCCACCACGATTAGATGAATCTTGTTTGCTGAAACATAATAAATGCATATTCAGAATAAGAATTTCAAAATGAAGAGCATCAAATAACATTATAAAACACAGATGAAATGAGAAATATCAAATATCAACAGCTATGTGCATTTAATATTCTAAAAAATAATAACTGATAATCTCTAATAGTTTAATTATGACAAGACACAATAGAATCTTCCTAGGGAAGATAGCCAGCTTTGTAGAGCAGTCACTGCGGAGAGAAACTCACTTATATTCATGTTAAATTAGGAGGAAAAAAGCCATGATGGAAGTTTTTGCTGCAAACTAAACTTAAGACAAAGATATTATTGTTGAATGGCTTTAACTACTCAGCACTGGTAATCTAATCTGCAGGAAAGGAGTAGAAGATAATATCCACACTGTAATAACATCCACAACAGCAGACAGTGATAATTACTGCAGTCAAAATTTAACAGAAATCCTTTAACATAAATATTAACTTGCAAATAAAATTGAGGAAAAACTATCCATTTCAAACTCATTAATATTTTGTTCAAACATTTTCTAATACACTCTGATACTGAATCATATTCTGTTCTCAGAGCTTACATACTAAATCATATTCAACAACACAAAATACAAAGAGTTTGTCTTCTTGTGTGTGGGCAAGAGGGGCACACAGTCCTTTAATTTATGTGTAAATACTAATTACAGCTGCATCATAAATGATCTCATACCATGCCCTACTTTGCAGATCCTTAATGAAATTCCTTAATTCAATAATTTCTCATGCTTAAAGCAATCATTTGTTTTTGCCTACAGTCCTGATTTTATTTACTGTTCTATTCCATAACATGAATGTCAAGCACTCAATACTGAGGAGCTTCAGATCAATGGTTTGAACCCAGCTGACAAAATTTTTATATTTTTCATCCCTTATCTTCCAAATTTATAATAAGAAATATGTTCAGATAATATGTTATGCATATGTAATTTATAATATCATAACACATATTCATCATTACTGAATATATCATTTAAATGCACACCATTCTAAATGTGGAAATGCAAATAAATGCCTTTTCTTATACAGCTATGATTCCCCATGCTGTGCTCTACACTTTATAGCGGTGGAGTCTTCTGCAAAGAAGTGTACCTGGAAGGGAAAGGCTCCTGAACTTATTCACTTAACTGGTTATACATATATTTATTTACACACAAACTTTCAGCATCCACTAACTCAAACTGAAAAAAAAAAATTGATAGCAATTTCAAAAAAAAAAAAAAAAAAAAAAAAACCAGCAACTCATTCTCTTTCAGCCAATTTAATTTTTATGAAGAATATTCAGCAAGTACAGGAGATGAATGAAAGTTTCAAGATTGGCTCTATTTCTCTTCGCCAACCTAAACTGAATTTTCTGAAGGTATCAACATATCTGAACCTGCCGCTGAACAGCTGGCCACAAGAAGCATTTACTTTGTTTTGTCCAGGCAAATAAGGGAAATGTGATAATACACTGGAGAAGTGCAATTTAATGTTAAAACTAGCAGATCCAAAAGTCTCTCATACGAAACTTTCATATACTATGGAAATTCTGAAATGGATATTATGGTGAATCCCTTTACAAGGATGATACCCCTATAATGTTAACAAATAATATATATATATATATATATATCTGTCAGATTTAAAACCTGCTTGTTTGGTGCAAGAGTTTTTCTGAAGCACACTTTTTTGTTATGTTTCGCCATTGCTTTGTAACTCATTCTTATGCGAAAATAATGTTAAAAGCTTTTAAATAGATCTTACAACATATTTGTGAAGCTAGTAAGATAATGACTTTTTGTTTGCTAGCCCGATTTTTGAGAAACTAGAAGCATTCACCATAAGGAATGGAGTGCCAGTTTCTTCTAAGTTTGAAAGAAAATGAAAAAATTAGAAATATAGCATTGCAATCTGCAACAAAGAACTGAAAAAGATCACAATCAAACTTTTTGTAAGGTATCTTTAAAAGCTTCAAATTTTCTCCTGTAAGAATAGGATGAAAAGCAATGTTCAATCATAAAATTCTATTCTACTTAGAAAAAAAATATCTTTACCTTGCGCTCTAAAATTAATTGGTTTTTAAAGCTAGCGACAAAACTTTCTACTGCTAATAAGCAAGGTTTAAAGTTTTGTAAGAAGTGACACAACCGCAACATGTGACAATATACCTGCTGGATCTTAAACTAAAGGCAAATATAATTAGTTAATGCATGGAGATAAAATCGTATTATTTGATCACTGAAGAAAAATGGTAAAAAAAAATCTTATCATACGGCATCTCACACCAAACCTTTATTTTCACGGCTTAAACTTTTTTTTTACATGAGGATTTTCAGATCCCCAAATCCCAACACTATGTGTATATTAAATTAAAACAAATTGTTGGGAAAAAACTAATACACAAGTAATAATACCACAGAATTTTACTATAATACCTCCTGCAGGGTGCCAACAATAATAGAGTAAAGCTGTTCAGAAACTTTGTGGATCCCCATATTACTTGTAACAAAGTAAATGCTTAAATATGGGTGTCATTCATTGAAATAATTTGCCATTAATATAAATTTGAAAAGTTTAGCATGCATGACTTTTGGATCACCCTACATGAACAGCAGTGATAAAATACTTCAAATCACTTAACAACCATATGGTGGTGAAACAATTACAAAGATTACAGCATAATGTCAATGGCTAAATCATTTCAAAGATGGAAATGTGAGTAATTAAAAAAGCACAGCCATGAGGCCATCCATTGTGGTTATAAATGGCAACAGTGCTAAAACGACAGAACTGTTGAGGAAAAAATGAAGGATCATATTACGTATTTTTGAGCTCATTTCATATTGAATTTGCATGAACTGAACACTGTGTCAGGAATTTAGCAAGTGCATTTTATGTGACCAGGTGAAACCCAGAAATATTACAAAAAAGCAGAAGCTTTACGCAAAATAGTGCACGAACACTTGCTAAAATATGCACGATTATTCTGGATTTCATAACTACAGCATAAAGGGGAAAAAAGCAAATTTACCATTATAAGCTGCCATGAAAACAATAGTATGGTATGTGGAAATACTCAAATATACCACCACTAAGAAAATTCTGTTTACCTCACTCAGCAGGTTACGCTTTTGCAATTTTCAGTGAATAAAAATGTTTCTAAAATCCATTATATATGTAGTAGTTACAGTTCACACAGTTCAATTTCATTTCACTTGCGATCACCCACAGTTACTGCTAATTACTCCATGAAATACAAGTAGTTTGGAAAGCTCATATGGATTCTTTACCTCAGAAACATAGCCTCATATATTTAAGTTAACCAAACAGCCTACACACCAAGAAAGATGGCTCATTAACAAATATAGGGAACAAATTTTCTAGTGAAATTTAGCAGCAGACTTACAATGCTTACAATGAAATCATTGTCAGCAACAGCAAATATATAGTTATGAAACCAACACGTATCCAATAAAAATGAAAGACATTCCTCTCATGCTTGTGTAGGCAGCACACCCTTCCAGTAATATGAAAACTAGATATAATTGTGAGTAAGATTATCATGATGTTTATAAGAAATCTACTTATACAGTCAAACCTCTATTTCATGAAGACTGTACTTTACAAATTTCTCTATACAGCCAAACCTCTGAATAACACTGTATTTTATGGATTCCTCTATTTAGTGAAGGTTATCACATGACTCTGCCCAAGGTGATAACTTCCTTCTACAGAAAATTCCAAATAGCAATGAATACTTTCCCAAAGCTTTGGAATCGATGATTTTTCTTCCTAGTTTAAAATTATTTATTCATATGCTGCAAACAATATGTGCATGTATCTGTAGTTCTAAAAGATAGGTGGCTCATAAGCTGTTTTCATAGTCCATTCTAATTAAGGTATGAAGTGGAGGGAGGGAGATTCTCGAATGAGAAAAAATTGACCCAACCTATTGTTAAAAATTCACCAATCAATTCTGTTTCACAAACCAGTTTTATGGTACACAAGAGTCGCACTTTTTTTTTTTCATTCTCTTGTAATTCACGGTTTTCTGTGGCTAAAAGTTAGTTAAGTACTGAATGATAAAAATGCCAAAACAAGAGTGTCTAACATTAGAAAAAATGCTGATTCTCAATGAAGTGGACAATGGTGTGAAAAAGAAAGACACTGCCATAAAATATGGCACTTTGATAAACAGTTTACCGATCAATCATGAAACATTGGGGCAAAATTTCATCAAGTTTTGACTCCATGAATACAAGAGCCAAGCATTAGAAAGTGTGCATTTATGACGATGTTGATGAAGCAATGTTAAAATGGCTGTGCATATATAGAAAATGTGTACCAGTATTAGGGCCACTGACACTGGGAAAAGCAAGGGAGTTTGTCAGTTTTAGTAAGAGTGTGCTTCATGCAAGCAGAGGGTGGCTAGAGAAATTAAAACAAAAAGAAAAGTAAGAAAGGGGGTAGATATTGAAAGATGCGAGACACACTATCACTTTAAATGTAGTTCATAACAATTAAAACAAACTAAAATAACTCCTTGTCTTTTAATTGAGTTTATGCCATTTCCTTATGTAATTTTGATGTAATGGACATATTAAAAAGTGTAATTTTGCATTTATATCTAATTTTATTACTTTTTTACACTTAAAACAAATTATCACCTTAGATTTCGTTAAATAGAAATTGTACTGAAATATTAGGTTGTTGGGAACAACTGCAAGCTTTACAAATTGGCATATAGCCAACTCATACTATTTGTGCAAATTAAAAATGAAAAACATTTCTAATGACTTTCTTAGCATGACATGACTATTAGATTATACAGTAACAGCATGTGAATATTACTGACATATAATTAACATATATTAAACATAATGGGAAAAAAAATCCACTTCTCTAAGATTTTGTATTTTCTATTATTTTCATTCATAAAGAACCACTTAACCAGATAGCATTTTTATGATGATTATGGTCTAGTCTTATTCCATTTATGTATGCAACATATTCATATAAATTAATGTTTCAGGAATGGCTATAATTTTAGTGAAAATACTTATTGTACCTGAAATCTACAGGTAAAACCTTTTTGAAAGTTCCCTGAATTTTCAAAAGGCCAAGTGAACTTTCTATAAACACAATGTGAGACAGCTAAAGGCATTCAAAACTAAGAAAACATTTGCTTTAGTTTTAAATTAAATTTAAAAAAAAAAAAAAAAAACTATTCAACCCAACACTTTCCATTAAAAATACACATTTCCCACTTTTACATTTTATATTCATGAAATTCAAATGCAATCGAGTTACCAACTTATGATTTGAATACACACATGCACATAACAAACCAGGGATTAACTTACTAGAAAAGAATATTAACTTTTATTAATGGGTGCACATTTTTAATCTTGTTAATCGTTAATTTATGTAAAGTGAATTAAAGAAATACTTATTTCAGAAGGTCTCATGGAATATATTTCAAAGCATGAAGAAAAGAAAAAGATTGTAAGATGGTTCATACATCCTTAGTTTTGAATACCTTAGATGACAGAGCAACATACTAATATATTCAGATGAAAAAGCTTCATGTATTTAGTACTTAGTACTAAATATATTTCAACAATTAAAATAATTTGAAACTGCACCTAAGTAAACTGGTTTTCCTCCTCCTCCAATGTGAAGCAAGTAACATGAAATAAAAGCACATCATATCATCATTAAGCATTGAAATGTAAAAAAAGCACGAAAATTCATTGTTAAAACATTCTTTTACAAATGAAAAAATATGACAACATAACAGATATCATGCCCACACTATTTATATAAAAACATAACATTATTGCTATGGTTTATTTTAGAAGTTGGAGATGAGTTAACCAGAGAATTAAATAATATAACAGGAAGTCAGAATAATTTTAAGAGGTGAAGAATTACATGCAGAATAAATTTGAATATTAAAAAATTATGATAAATATGTGCACAAGTGGACTAAACCCAGCAATACAAGGAATTCAATATAATTAAAAGCCCTGAGTGGCCTGCTTTCCACACTATACTATTATAGAAAACAATTAACATAATGTAAAATTTCTTAAATTTATAGGAAAAGGGGGGCAATATTGAAAGAAACTTTAAATCCAATTTTGAACAGATATTAGAAATGCATTATGAATCAAAAGGATACCTGGAAGCCGAGTGGACAGCACTTGATTCTCTAGTGTTCAAAAGCTTCGGGTTTCTTTTATGACGGTGAGAATCTGTATGTATTTCAGGAACCTGGTACTCTCTTGTTCTTTCCAAAATGGACAGTAATGACTGCAAACAAATTTGAAATTAAACCACAGTTGAAAAAACATGAACTTTTCCTACAAAAAGCATAGGAAAGCAAGTTATTTAAACTCAAGCTTAATAATTTTTAAGATTAAACAGAAGCTATCCAATTATATTTTCTAACAATATATGAATGCATATGAAATATTACCTACTGGTATATGTATATACTGTTTTCGTAAATCACATCTTGTTAAGCAAAATAATTTTAAAAAACTACATGTTAAAACGTAAATTTACCGACAAACATTCATATTATACTTGGACTTTACCTTAACCACCCAATGTCGAGTGGGACCATGATGACACAGATTTCTTAGAACTCTATGAAGCCTACCAGTATTCAATTGAGGCTCATCAACAAACAGCAAGACTAAAAGACATGCCAAAGCTTCATTATCCAGCAGATAGCGTCCACGAAGTCTCAGGGTGTTAGAAATAGCTGCACTGCTTAATCCAGAATTATTTCCTGAAGGACTAGATGCTCCTCGAGGTGATAAAGTATTCCAGGTCCACTGACCTCGATGTGGAAGACTGTGAATAGTATAGCGAGCTCCAACCCGACCTATCATAAAAAAGTTGCAAGAAAATTTAAAGCATAAATTATAAAATAAAGCAAAAAAGATTATGTAATTTTCTTTTTACTTTCTTTGCGAGTCTTAAATATTGTGATACTTATTGTCTTACACGTTCATTTTACTTTTTAATTAAGATTTTTCGCAAAGTAATCATATACATTTATTCTTTAGAAAGATACAAATTTTTTTTTAAACAATACTCTCAGCAATAAAAGACTGCAAAAAATAAAAATCATTTTAAAAATAGCAAACATACATCTTTCCAAATCATTTTAAAATATGGAATTCACAGCAAATTAAAAAGGAGATACATTAAAAATATAGTCCAATACGGTTAATTGGACCACTGGATAATTGAACCAGCTGAATTTTCAGACCGAAGCCTAAAAAACTGAAACAAATCCTATGTACACAGTGGGAAAAAAAAAAAAAAAAAGAGGGGGGGGGAACATTTCTATATCTCTCGTTATACTGGGCCGATTGACAAAACTCAAATTGCATTTTTCATATTTCAAAAGCGTGACTTAGGATATATATTAGATTATATATAGCATTGTTCCAATAGCAGATTTATATATAGCATTGTTGTATTTTGAAACAAAATTGGAATTTTCTAGAATAACACACCAATTTTTTTCCCTGCTTGTGTCTAGTGAAAAGTAGAGAAAATAAAGGGAAGATAAACATGTTAAGATTCTAGTATCAGAAGTAAAGCATTCAAATATTATGTTTTCATTGTTCTTCCAGACGTTCTCCAAAATGTAAGAAATTCATTTAAAACTTTCTGTAAAATACATCAATTACGAGTTGATACCATGGAGACATTTTTCATTTTGTCACATATTTCTCACATCTTCTAGAATCAAGGCTCTATAAATCTTGCCTTCAAATCCTTCTAAACTTTTCAAGCTGCAATGTCTAAAATAAAAAAAAAAAAAAAAAAAAAAAAAAAAAAAAAAAAATTATCCCTACAAATTTTGTAACAGTGAAAGGTCAGAAATAGTTTGGAAAAAAAAAGGAGAGGGAAAAAGTGTAAAATTAATTTTATAGAGAAAAACTGATGCGTATTCTGAGAATTCTAAATACTCTGAGACAGTTACATGAAAAAAACTTTTAGCATGAAAAAATTAAAAAGACATTTTTAATTAATTACATAGCTAATTTTGCTTTTGCTAAAAGCTGTATCGTAAATTGTGCTTTACAGTATTATACTTTGTTTATTTTTCAGATTCAAAATATTGTATAACAAGTTGCCAAAATGAAACTTTACATGACAGCGAAATATAAAAATGTTTTTTAATGTTATTTTTTAAATATAATTTCAGTATATTACCATTATTTTAATGAAATTTATCAATGTTACGATGTTTAAAAAAAATCGTCAAAAAATTCTCAGATCTCAGAATTAAAATTTAGCTATAGAAGCTGATCTTAAAATTGCCAAAATCTTGATAAGTGGCCAAATTTAGAACGGTTTAATAAAAGAATTCACATTCCCAAAAGCGAAAAGTTGTTTAAGGGCTCTTTATTAAAAAAAAAAAAAAAAAAAAAGAATTTTGCTATGCTTATGTTTCACTTCCTGCTTAGAACCTCGAGTATCCCATCACTCTTATATTAAAAATAGAAACAAATTATAACCCATGAACCCATTCAAAAGATACGTCAATGAATCGCCAAAAATATTCCTCCAAAATGCTAATTCACACTCAAAATGGCAATCGCAAAAACAGACAGAAATTTCAGATGATTAAAATTAAGGCGCTTCTGCTGATTTCAGCCAAAATTAAGGACTTTTAAGGACAAAAAATCAATTCAAAAAAATCTAAGGACTTTTAAGGACTCTTAAGGACTGTACGAATACTGTAAATATAATTTCAACACGTTATAATTATTTTATTGATTTTCAATATTAAAATGTTTAAAAAAATCGTCAAAAAATTTCCCAGATGTCGGAATTTTTTTATAGAAATTGATCTTAAAATCGCCAAAATGTTGGTACGTCACCAAATTTTGAACCGTTTAATAAAAGAATTCACATCAACAAAAGTGAAAAGTTATTTAAGAGTTATTCATTAGAAAAGAATGAAATAAATTCGAAATGTTTATGCTTCACTTATTGCACAGAATCTCGAGTATCCCAACGTTTGTATTAGAAATAGGAACAAATTATAACCCATTCACCCATTTAAAGAGATAATCATATTTATCAGTAAATTGGCAAAAATATTCCTCCAAAATGCTAATTCACACTCAAAATTGCAGTCGCAAAAACAGGCAGAAATTTCAGATGATTAAAATTAAGGACCTTCTGCCAATTTTGGCAGAAATTATGGACTTTAAGACCAAACTTGGATTCCAAAAAACCTAAGGACTTTTAAGGGACCATACGAACCCTGTTTTTTATGCTTTACAGACTATTTATAAGTCTCATTTCATAAGGTAAATTCCTTTTTTAAACATTTCAGTAATATAAGTGTGGCAGGAGGTTCTGACATCTGTTATACGTTTTCATGCAATAATTTGTACGACACAGTCAATTTATATGTGAAATCACGACTGAGGAAAATTAAGAAATATAAGTAAATTGAAAATTAGAGGCAAAACTCCTCATCTTTCTTCTGCATTAAATTTGCCAATTATAAAGGAAAATTGGTATTTGTATGTTAACATGATGCTTAAGAACAAACAAAAAAAAAAGTGACCAATCATTAAATCCTATCCAAACAAGTACAAGTAACTACACAATTCCATTTCCTTGCGGTGGGGTGGGGGAACTACAGAAATTAGTACTTACCTGCTGTAATATGTTTCATGATATATCATTTTTGCTCGGTTAGCATGCAAGTATTGCAATTCTGAAGTTATAGATTAATAGTGTCCCCCCCCTGTAGGATACACAGTTAACTGAAATTTTTAGTTTAACTATACATTGAATATTTACTAAAAGTTTTGCAGCAACGAAAACTCAAATCAAGAAGCAACAATTACCTAATATTTTTAACATTTACTCGTATTTTTTAACACTTCAGACCACCTTTTGTAGAAGACAGGCATTAAACAGAAACTGAAATATCAAACCACCCTATGAAAATGCACATGCAAATACAGCTCTCATGCCATTTTTTTTTTTTTTTTTTTTTTGTTGTTTTCTTCACTACCAATAATTTTGCAATATACTTTTTTTAGGTTACCTTAAGATATTATATTAAAATTTGACAAGAACGAAATTTAGATGCATATGCTCAGACTATTAACTAAAAATATTATAATGAGTTATAAAACATACCAGCAGAACGTAAAATACGAGATAAAGCAGTACCAGCATGCGAGGAAAAGAAACGCTCCTGGATTTGTCGATGTCGGGCTTCAAGTTCTCTCCGCAATGCATGTGCCTCTGAGGTCAATTCTGGTGGCAGAAGAGCTAACAAACTATCATCCATATCAGCTAAAACCTAAGAAAGGAAATTAAAGCAATTTGATTGAATAGGTCATCCTTTTGAACTTTAATATTATAAAAAATGACTTGAAATTTATTGCTTATATTTAGAATTGTATAAAGTAGGCCAAGATTAAATATCTGTAAGCTTACTCAATGCACACAAAACATTACTAATAATTTCCCACCATTTTAATTCCCTAAAAGCAGCCAACTACGTATTTTATTAATTTTGTAATGGGATTAAAAAACATGAAGCAAACCACAGAACCACTTAAAGTTATGAAAATACTGAAAACAGAACCCACTAGAATACTGCAGCTTAAAAATTTATGATTAAAAATTAATGAAGCTTAAAATTAATGCAGCTTAAAAATTAATGATTCTTAATAAAAATAATTCATACTAGAAATGCATGGCTTATTGCACTCCCAAAGAATCTTAGTCCCATCCTAATGAGAGGGAAAAGTATTCTTCATGTCTTAAACAACTATAGATTTATCCGTAATGCTACACTAAGCTGCATGTTTCAACACAAAAAACAAAACTGATTTTGGAATGACATACTGACTCTTTTTCCACTTTGATTTTGTTCCATGGCTCCACTTCTAAACTAATAACACATTACATTCTGTATGTACATGTAATCAAAGATTAATTTCACTTTCCTTTTACTTTAAAGCACTGACAATTAACAAAAATGGATTACTTACCTGTAAACTGATAAAATTGTAAATTATTCTGAATATTCATGTTAAATTTTAAAATACTGGAACAGTTTTATAAAAATCAAGCTGCATTAAACAAGGGGCTCTGAAAACAATAATACTAATGTAACCCTACAACATGAACTGATTTTGTAATGGTAGAAATCACAAGTTAAAAAAAATTAAAGAGCACAAACATTAGTTATTCTGAATACTTCAATTTTGGACTAACTTGCTTCTAACTAATCAGATGGTTATTATTAAAAATCATTTGACTTTATGCTTATGAGATGCAAACCTAAGTCCTCAAGACAGAAAGGTAAGCATTAAGAATACCTAAAAAACACATGTAACAAATGCCAGTTTCAGGAACCATTTCAAAATACACTTAAATTAAACAAACCAGAAAAACACAAAATAACTTCAGTGTTTCTATATTGGCAAACTGGCAAATAAATTTACATTACTCTAAATAATTTTTATCTCAATCTGAAACATAGCCTTTATTTTGAGAAATAGTTTATGCACCAATGAAAAGCAAAAGCATTCATTAAGTGGATTTATACATGTGAATGTAATTGGTGAACACTACTAGTTTAAACTATTTTGAACTTTTAGAGAGGTCAGTCAACTACATGTTCATTTCATGGATATTTCTGTCTCTTACATTTATAAGATATTTCTCCCGCCTTCTTAGCATGCCTTCGTGATGAAATGGTCAGCACGCTTATCATATATTCATGAGGTCCGAGGTTTGAGTCTTGGCTAGAGCATTGCTAATTCTTCCTGTCTCCTGCTTCAAATAACTTACCGTGTCTACAGTGGCACCCGAACTAAAAAAGGTGGTGGATGATGACTCTCTACCACCAGGATTTGGCGATTCGGTCCCCTAATCCTCAGTCGGCCTTTAAAAGTGAGAGTACATACGGTATTCTCCCACACTCTTAGAACATTTTCGTGGTGTAATGGTCAGCATGCTCGGCGTGTATTCGAGAGCTCCAAGGTTCAAGTACTGGCGAGGGCACTGCTCCTTTTTCATCTCTCCTGCTTCAAATAACCTAATGTCTCTACACATTAATATTAACTTTTCCTTTAAATATTACCTATGCACAGACATATTTATCACATATTTTGGCATAATGAACTAATTATCAGAGCTAAATATTTTTAGGTGCATAAATGCAACTATATTACACATCTTTGTAAATATGAGAAAAATATTAAAGAATTCATCGACTTTTTTTACAATTAAATTTAATAAAATTTGAAAAAAAAAGTTCTTTGAACTTTTCCAATATTTTATTATATATTATATACATTCAAAATTAGCATTAAAGGAACCCAAATATTGCATAGCAGAATTCTTGAATATACTGGAAACTACTTGAAACTAAAAAAAACTTTTATAAAAATAAACAAACCTTTACAAAAATACATATTTTTAAGAGTAACTCAGAAAGTAAAATTTAAATTGCTTATACTTTCCAACATTTGGTCCTAACAAGAACAAATGAAAATTCATGTATCAGAACCTTTTCTTTAAATGTCGCGCTTGTTTCTCATTTCGAAAAATTGAAAATTTGCCACTGAAAAGTGGTGTGAAATGTCAAATTTTACGTCCCTAGGGTCTTAAATGCTTTACTCTTTCAAAGGTCTTTCTTTTGCGGCATAGATGCACCCCTCTGAGAATCCATTAAACTACACACAAGAATCTTTGTTGCAAATAGGAGGCGATTTCTTAACCTTTTCGCGATGGCGCACCTTTGTTTAAGACGCTCAAGCGGGACGGAAGAGAATCGAAGGCAGTCACCGTACAGGACGGAGGTTTTGCATCGCTAAGCCTAATTTTATAACAAAAATCAGAAAAACAAAAGTTTCGCTTCTAGCATCGTAATTTTTGGTATCATTTTAGATTATTACTTGAGCTCTTATATATGTTAAAATTAGCCCTTAAAACATTTTTTTTTCTTAATTTTACATGAAAATATACTTAAAAAATTGCTTATCTTGTAAAATAATTTTCGGAAGCGCTTTTCAAATTATTCCAAAGTTTTAATTGATAAAATCCATTTAAAGTTTAAAGATAAAGTTTAAAATAAATAAAAAACACACAATAAAGACTATTTACAGTAAGAAGTAACAAAATTTAAAATGAAAACGAGTGTGGTAAATCTCGAAGGTATCACTTTGTAACTCTTAGAAAAAGTATCACTCTTTAACTCTTTAGAAAATGAATCAGTATTCTCATAAGCGTTAGTAAATGGTTCACTACCCACACTAGGGTATTCTTCTGATAAATAGCGCCTTCCCACCATAATAGACTGGAGGTGAGGCTTTCCTAAATAAAAAAAGAAGGAATGGAAATATATCTGAAGGCAATGCAAAATGTAAAAAAACTCCGCACAGTAACCCTAAAAGACCATACATAGTAGAAGGAAAAAAATAGAATAAAAAAAGGAATTGGATATAAATCAGACACGAGAATGTTTTCATTAGCACGCGGCGATTTAAAGAGCCCACCTCCGTTTACGCATTCCCTCCGCCCCCCACCCTTGAACCGCTGATGAGTAAAATACCAAAGTCAAGCAGAATATATCAAAACTCAAGGTCAGAAACCTAAAACTGTGTTCATTTCAAAAGTAATGGACACAGGATGCCATCTAGTGGCCTTCAGAAAAATGTTCCACCTTAAAATGCGTATATGCATCACCCGTCCTCTGAATGCGATCTTTACTGATGCGTGGATGGGATGCCCGGCTGTAAGAGACGTTCTTAGGGGATGCGTATATGGGACGCCCGTCCTGAAAGGGTTAAAGGAGGAAAAGCATTCGGTTCAAGACTCCCCGTCCTTTGGTAGGTTTTACTACTACCAAAGCCCCGGCCTCAAAAGGTTAATTATATACTGTTAAAAATACTAATTATAATTCGTAAGTCATTAAAAAAAATTTTTTTTTTGGTACAAAAAGGGTCCTACGACGAGTTTATCTCATAGTCGGCTTTTATTAGACAAAGCTCTTCACAGAAGCCCACTATGAGTTGGTTCGTACAGACACGCTTTGACTTGTTGCCTCGGTACAGATAAAACAAACGTTAAGTGAGTAAGTAACTCGTAGCGGCACAAAGGTGGCAAGTTGAAAAACTATGAGATAACTCGTATTGGGTGTCCGGAAGAAGAGAGCTAATACAAGTTATCTTGTGTTGGGCACTTAACGTGTTAAAACATAATTATGCCTTATAATTAATTAATTGTTAACCCCTTCGTGGCGGGTAGCGAAACGCACGCTTATCGCAGAGGCCGGCAGAGTCTTACGCGAGCATCTGTCCAGAGCCGGGGGCTTTTTTGCTATTAAGTCTAAATCCATGAAATTTCCGAAGTATCAACGCATTGTTTAATAATGCTCTATAGAGTATTTAAACGGCTTATGCTTTATAGATATTTTTATATATACTTTAATTACCTTATTTCTTGTTTAAATGCATATTTTACATATTTTATTTTCATTACTCGCCATTTTATGAATTTTAACATTATACATCTGAAAACTAAATATATTACTTAAAATTCTCTTTTCGTATGAAAAATTTGAAAACGGGGATCTACACACAGTCCTACGTGACATTCCTTGCACTCATAATAACTCATTTGCCGTTTTGGAGGATTTTTCCGGGAATGTGAACAAACGAAGCATCATCGTCTCTTTGTTCAGAAGAGACTGATAAAAAAATAGTCCAATCAGAAATTGATGTGTTTCAGAATCAATATCTGAAATATTTTGCATCATTTCTGCTATTTCATGCTCTGTTAAACATTTTCGACGCTTCGACATTGCAACGGTAAAAACAGAAAGAATTCACATCTAACAAGATCTAATTATTTGCTAAAAACTGAACTGCAAACCGAAATACTCAACGCTTTAGCGCATATAAAACTTCTACTTACAATAAACAACTACCACGTGCGAATAAAGTGCGATTTAAAGAGACGTAATAAATCACGCCATTCAGAAACATTTAGTTCCCCTTTTGTTTATATAATCAAAAACATGTGTATGTGAGTCATCCTTCTCTCATGTGGAGTAGAAGGTCTAATGTACATGTATCTGAAACCATATGGACATACAGTGCCATCTTGTAGCAGAAATTATAGTTTTTAAAACGTTCCAGGACACTGGCACAAATACGTGACAATCGGGGCTGAACGGGAAAAATGCTCTGGCACGCCTGCGTGTCGGCCAGGAATTGAGTGTGTTCATTGCTGGCACGTAGATGTGACAGTCGGCGCGAAGGGGTTAACTTTATGTCTAATAGT